TCTGAAGATGCTGGCCATAGAGACTGGTGAAACATTAGGAAGAACAACCTTCATAACATGGCCAAAGAGCCCGAAAAACCCACAACAACCATTAGATCCCAGCCATGAAAGCCTTTGCGAATACAATGTTTGTCATTATTGACAACAATATTGCAGAATACAGAAAGTTGTTTCAGTGATATGTGAGAAATAAAATTTGGACTTTCTGATTAGTGTCAAATTTAGCTCTTTCATTGTGATATCCTCAACATTTTATATGGCTGAGAACCCTAGTAAAGTCAGCAGCATCTGCAAAGTTATAGTTTAGTTGGCTTTGCTTCATCTCCCCACTTGGAAAATGAAAGTAACAAGATTTTCTTACCTTATTTATTGGCTTGTAATGGTCAGAACTGACTTGACAGCACAAAATTATTATTGCAAATGGTCAAAACACTAGCAGAGGCATATATATATATATATCATACAGTAATGTTAGTGCTCAGATTACTAACTTAATTTATTGACTCTTTTTAAATTTCATAATCTACTTCGCTAAATGTGTTTGTCGGGTATGGGAGCCCTCCAGATGTTGTCGGGCTGCAACTTCTGTGAGCCCTGGCTGGCATACCAAATGATGAAAGATTGTAGGAATCAAAGTCCGACAGGAGCCAGTGGGCTACATGATCTCCATTCCAAATGTAGTATTTCAATGCACAGTATTGTACTTGTGATTTCCAACACTCTAAGGCTGTAATTCAGAATTCATATTCCATTTGCTTTAGAGCAGCTACAGTATGCTTATTTCAATAGGGCTCTTGCCACATACTGTGAGTTGTGTAGGTTTCAAATTACAGCATTGATTGATGGAATTCAATAAGATCTTAGGGCATAAACCAGGCCAAAGATGTTTTTCAGTTGCATCAACATCAGAGGGCAGTTAAACACGCTCTCAATGTTCTCCCACAGAAACCAGTTTGCTTACAACACTTATCTTTGTCTGGATTGAACTCGGCATGTATACACTGTGGGGTAGGTCATGTTTATGCCCATTTTACAGATGGGACCCTGAAGCCAAAAGAGTGGCATGACCAAGGAGACACAATGATTCCTTGGCAAAAATGAGATACCAGCCCATGCTCCCCATTTCGCTTTAAATGCTGTATCCACTAAACGTATGTGACTCTTTGTAGTCTCTAAATGGCCAGACTGGATCCCTGTTTGTAGACTAAAATGAGGTTTGCAGAAATCAGTTATTTAGCTCCAAATGCTAAAGAATATGCTGGCAACACATGATACAACACCAACATATTTCTTATAAAGTTCTAATAAAAATCAGTGTGATTTAGATATGAGTAGCTGTACTTAAAATGAAGACCACTTGTTAATTTTTATTTTTTATTAGCAAAATACATCAGGGCAAGTTACTCATTACCTCTTAGCTCAAGGAGGTATTGTTTATTGTGGAATGTTGCTAACTGATTTTATGAATTTGTTTTCTGAAGTTTTTAATTTAGGAGTGTATCGTCGTGAAGCAGTAAAATCATACCAGTCATACGATTTCTTCAGACATGATAACGAGGAAGCCATGAGGATTCGGAAGTAGGTCAACAAATATTATTTCATATTAGTTTTCAATAAATAACAGTTATCAGTTTTCAAATACACTAAAACCTTGAACATGATGAGAACTGCTGTCCTGTGTACTCTTTTCTTGTAAGTAAGCTACAGTCACCACAATGGATTAATTTTTGAGTAAACATGCCTAGAATGGCAGTTGATGTTTTAATCCTTGCAATATAATTGTACATGCTTACTCAGAGCCACAGTGACTGCTTTATTTATTTTGTAATTGACTGGATTTCTTCCTTGACTTTCTCCCAAAATATGGTACTGAAGCTGCTGAACAAGGTTAAAATCAGGTAATACAGTAGGATCGCCTTATCCACATGATCAGTGTCCACTGATTCACTTTTCCATGGTCTGAAAACATTAAATATACTGTATTTTTCTGTGTATAAGACACCCCCATGTATAAGACGCCCCCCACTTTTCTAACCCAAGATTAAGAAATCTAAGTGGGGCTTAGCAAATGTAGGGTAAAAAGGATCAAAGTGCTGCAGGATGGCTTTGATCCCTGCTTTCTCCCTTTGTGCTAAGCCCCGCATGGCTTAGCAAAAGGAAGGGGAAAGGGATCAAAGCAATTCCATGACTGCACAGTCATTTTGATCCCTTTCCCCCTTATACAGCCACGGGATTGCTTTGATCCTTCCCCCCTCCTTTTGCTGAGCCCCATGGGACTTAGCAAGCAGAGAGGAAAGCAGGGATCAAATGATCCTGCAGCACTTTGATCCCTGCCTTCCTTTTGCTAAGGCTTAGCAAGTGGAGGGGAAAGCAGGGATCAAAGCCCTGCAGGATCACTTTGATCCCTTCTTTCCCTTCCACTTGTTTTTTTCTCCTCAGCTTACTTCTGTGTATAAGACGACCTTCAATTTTTAGTCTAAAGGTTCTAGACAAAAGTATAGTCTTATACATGGAAAAATACGGTAAATTTCCAAAAATAAGGTTACCAGAACTGACCACTAGAAGGAGCCAGAGACTGTGCTGTGTACAGTGTTCACTATGAAAATATCATTCACTATAATCTGTGTTTTTCAACATCTGCAAGGGGCTTGGAACCAGTTTCCCGCAGACATGGGGGTACTACTGTACAATCAAAACATGAAACAAGTTAAAATAACCACCATTAAAAGAAGGAATAGGAGCCATCCCAGCTTAATTGCAAAAAGTTTTCATGGGGGGAAAATGAATTGTGACTGGTAACCACTGGTAGCCTTCTCTGGATTTGTCTGATCCTCATTTAAATGCCCATCATAGCATTTTCTGTTAATAAATTATATACTGAAGTACGTGAACCTGGGTCTCTCATGTCCTAGTATGAGACTGTAATCCATGCCCTGCATGATGAGGTTAAATTCCACAGTTTAGACGTTATGCAAAGGTGTACTTTGTCTTGTCTGTCCTGAATCTCTCCCCACTCATCTTCGTTGGATTACCTGTATTTGAGTATTAAGAGAGGTGGAGTAGAGAGGTTCTTCCAGTCCACTCTCTACAATCATAGCTCAATTATTTCCCCAAATTTCCATCATGTTTACACTTTGAACTTCTTTTGCCATTTTTATGCCCATTCTCCTAGTTTGCATATGTCATTTTGGAGCTGTTGACATTCTGTCAGATTCGACACAAACTGGATTTTAGTGTGGGTAGGTATTAAAAGGGGATCTTGTTAAAGAAACAAGAACAAGCATACAGCTGTAAACTATATTTTACTGAGTTATTCTTTCAAATGGTTTTACCTTCTAAAGTGCTTTCCAACAAATGTTACATTTTTTTAAAAAAAATTTTTTTGCAGACATTGTGCATTGGTTGCCCTTCAAGATGTAAAAGTTTATCTCATGGAGGAATCTGGCCAGATTGCTGTGAGTACACAGTAGGTTGTTGGTTGAGTTGGTGGTCGGGAGAACTCCCAGCAGCGTCATAATCTGACTCCAAACAGGGAGGAACAGTGGCAGTAACGCTGTACAAATATATGATAAATGTATTTAATGTTAACTCATTTCTTAATGTTCCTAAGCGTATGTTTGAGTTATACCCAATTTCCTGTTAGAGAAGAATGTGATAAAAGGTAGATAGAAGACTTTTCTTGTCTGTGTTCAGAGCTTGACCCAGGTTTAATATATGAAGAGCCCTGATGGATCAGGCCCATCTACTCCAGCTTCCTGTATCTCACAGTGGCCCCACCAGATGCCTCTGGGAGCACACGAGACAACTAGATACCTGTCTCCTGATACCCCTCCCCTGCATCTGGCATTTTGAGGTACCTTCCTTTTAAGCCTGGAGATTATAGATCCCCATCATGGCTTGTAACTTGCGATGGATTTTTCCTCCAGAAATCTATCCAATCCCCTTTTAAAGGCATGTGGGCCAGATGCTATCACCATATCCTGTGGCAAGGAGTTCCACAGACTAACAACACACTGGGTAAGGAAATGGTTTCTTTTGTTTTTACTCTCACAACACTCAATAGGAGTGGATGTCCCCTGGTTCTGGTATTGCATGAGAGGGAAAAGAGCTTCTCTCCATCCACTTTATCCATCCCCTGCATAATTTTATACATCTCAGTCATGTCACCCCTCATGCGCCTTTCCTCTAGACTAAAGAGCCCCAAATGCTGTAGCCTTTCCTCATAAGCCTTTCCTGCCAGATCCTTTTTATTTAAATGTACATTGTCTATCAAAGTACTATCAATGTACTGCCGGGTAGTTGGGGCTCGTCAGCCATGGAAGGCAGCCCATCTAGGAGAAGGAAAACTCCGATTTCAAACCTCCACTGCCTTGTGGCTATATCCACTCATGGAAAAGACTTCAGGAGTTAACCTCGAGGCAAAATCCGGAGTCGGAGTCCCGAAGGCAGCATGTGTCGTTCTGCCAACTCCTGCGACATTGCTGGAACCAGTTGTATTGGCTCTTGCCTTTCCATTGGACCATTTCAGCAACGTGGAGAGGGGGGATCTGCTGCTTGGGTAACAGCCTATCCTCCATATTACCTTACTCGGGCTTCATGCTCTGGAGAGGACACTCCTCGATTCAGAGCATATTACCATAGTCTCTCGAGACTGAAGGATGCCTATGACTTCCTCATAAGGGAGGTGCCCCAGCCCAGTCATCATTTTAGTCACTCTCTTCTGCACCTTTGGGGTGGTCTGTGGACAGAAATGGTGTTTGATAAACCTTATCTTCCATTGGTAGATCCTGATAACATTATCAAAATATTGGTAGCCAGTTGGGCCTTGTCACTTTTTATATTTTTCCCAGTGATATGGGGTGATGCTATAGCTACTCAGATTAACTTGGTGCACTGGGCCAATGTTTTTAAAAATGGCAGTAGGGAGGCATCAGCAGTTGGTGTTATTTTAGTAAGTAACTATGAATGTCTGCAACTCCCTGTTCCTCAGAGTGCAGGACTGTTGAGGTCTCTGAGGAGATCATGTAATGTAAATTATTTGCACACATTTTTGCTACAAATTGAAAGTTCTGTCATATGGTATCTTAAGTGGAGAATTCTTAGTTTTGACTACTAAAAAGACTGTAAACATGAGTTAGTGTGAAACAGAATTTGGCAATGTTCTGTGTTTTGTAGGAATGTTTCTATTAGATATAAGGTACCCCAGGTTCTTGGAGATGTGACAAATACCAATGCAGTAAATAAATAAAAATGAAGTGAATTTGATTGTGATTGAAGGCTTACTGTTTCATGCATATTTTTCACTTCTATATGCATGAATGAGGAAGGTGGGCATCTGTGTATTTAAAATGTAAAAGCCCAATTGCTTCAAATTTATGAATCACCCATTTGGGTTATGTGGCAAGTAATCCAAACTCCAAGGAGGATGAATAAATTAGCGTCAATCTGCTGCTGCAAGTTACACCGTTACCCTTCTACCTGTGTAGCTATGCAACAGGAGTTTGGCTAGAGCCCTAAGTCCAGTTGAATTATTTGCAATTTAGTAAACAATTATACTTTGAGTTGGGCTTGAGTACCATATTATAAAATCAGTTGTTGACTCAAGAAAGGAAGCCACAGCCTTTAGTTTATAAGAAATGAGCTGGGCTCTTAATGATGGGACTTCTCGAGGTCATTAATTCTTAAGGTCACCATACGTTGACTAGGTAGCACATTACAACTACATATGAAGAGCTAAGGTTTAAAATTGTCTAAGTATTCTATTTTATGGTGGTTGTGGGTTTTTTGGGGCTCTTTAGCCATGTTCTGAAGGTTGTTCTTCCTAACGTTTCACCAGTCTCTGTGGCCGGCATTTTCAGAGGAGAGCACAACAACCCACAACAACCATTAGATCCCAGCCATGAAAGCCTTCACGAATACATATTCTATTTTAGCCATATAATATGTTTTATGAGCTGGTCACCAACCGTAATAAATAAATTCATTCATTTGTCTAAGCATTGTAGCCCAGAAATTCTAATTGCCCTAGGCAATCCAATTTCCACAGGCCATTCTGGAAATTGCAACTATTCTTATTTAACATCACAAACCTCTCACTTCTTCTTTCTGTTTAGGTCTTTGATGCAACCAATACAACTCGAGAGAGGCGAGACATGATTTTAAGTTTTGCTAAAGAAAATTCCTTTAAGGTGACTGTTTCATTGCAACTTTGCCCCAGTGCATTGGAAATGAATCTTCATGCTCTCAGTCCATGCTGGAGCAGGAAATTGTCATATGAAACTATAGTGCATTACTAGAAATCAGACATGTCTTTGTGGATTCCTATAGTTAAGCAAAACAGCTGTGCTGGTCATTCAGTATAATCCATTCTCTTAATCTATGTAAAGAAGGGCCTTTAGCCCATTCAGATCTCCCATGTGTGTTTGTAGCTGCTCATTTTACCTCACGTAGTCAGATGTGTGGAGGCAGCAGAGGGACTTTTAAGTGGAAACAGACTGAACTTTTTCTAAAATGCTTCCAGTGCTTTCCAGTTCAGCAATAAACTACTTCTTTGACTGCGTGAGAAGCTTTAAAGGAAACATATCCTAGATTTCTTGCTTCGAGTTACTACTAATTGGAAAGCATTTATTATTTCTTAATTAAGATTTAAGCTGACTGGATAGTTCAGTGATTTAGGTATCTGCCTGTGGAGCCAGAGGTTGGGAGTTCAGTTCCCCACCGTGCATCCCAGCGGAAAGCTAGCCTATGTGGCCTCGGGCAGGCTGCACATTCCCAGGATGCCCTCAGAAGAAGGGAATGGTAAACCCCTTCCGAATACTCTCTATCTAGAAAACTCTGAAAAAGGGTTGTCATAAGTCAGAACTGACTTCACAGCACATTTGCTCATTATTGAATCAATAACATATTATTCCTACATTAGGTTTTTTTAAGAGTCTAGTGGTTCCTATAGACACAAAATATGAATGTAAGTGTTTGAAATTGTGAGTTTTAGAATATAAAAATGGTTAGCATTGCTGTAGAGTAGTGGTCCCCAACTTTAGGTCCTTTGTCATAAGTCAGAACTGACTTCACAGCACATTTGCTCATTATTGAATCAATAACATATTATTCCTACATTAGGTTTTTTTAAGAGTCTAGTGGTTCCTATAGACACAAAATATGAATGTAAGTGTTTGAAATTGTGAGTTTTAGAATATAAAAATGGTTAGCATTGCTGTAGAGGAGTGGTCCCCAACTTTAGGTCCCCAGGTGTTCTTGGACTAAGACTCCCAGAAACTCGCCACTGGCCAGGATTTCTGGAAGCTGGGGACCCTGTTGCAGAGAAACCTTTCCCAACATGATGCTGCCCATATGTTTTGAATTCCAGCTCCCATCAGCATCAACCAGTATGGCATATATTTTGGATTGTAGTCCGAAACATCTGGAGAACACTGTATCAGGGATGACTGCTGTAAGAGAGCTACATTTTCTGAAGCACAATCTCTCTCTTTTTTGCAGGTCTTTTTTGTGGAGTCTGTCTGTGATGATCCAGAGGTCATTGCTGCTAATATACTGGTTAGTTCTGAACATCCTGAAAGACTGGGTGCCTAATATTATGCTGTAATAAACTCACAACAATTTAAATAGCTGCCATGACTTTATTGGTACTAGAGATACACTACTGTTTTGGTAATATTTTTTTAAAACCCAGTGCTCTATTTATTTCTAGGCTTGTCACTTTTATAGAAATGAGTTTATGTTAGGGAAATGCTGTAGTTAAACGTAGAGCAAGTTTTCAATGAAAATGGTCACACATTTACTTCATCACAGCTTCAGGAAATACTAGAATACTGAAGAGCAGGCAAAGACCTTTCTCTTCAGGCAAGCTGTACCTCAGTAAACTAGCTATGTGTGTGTGATGGCAAAGACCTTTCTCTTCAGGCAAGCCATACCTCAGTAAACTGGCTATGTGTGTGTGAGTTTTAGCTAGATTGTTATGCATTACTGCTTTGACTGGATTTTTAGTATTATGTTTTCCATTTTTGTGTTTTCCATTTCTCAGAGTGACTTTTTTTTGCATGCTTACTGATCTTTGCCTTGATATTGCCTGTTAATGATGTAAGATGCCTCCTTATTTATTGTTCATAGTTTTAAATATTGTTTTTAATGATGTTAACCACTGTTGTATACTCATTGTTTTCAGCTTTAAATATTGTCTTTCATTGTTGTAAGCCTCCTTGAATCCTTTTCAATGAGAAAGGCAGAGTAAAAATATTTAAAATAAAATAAAATGAATGAATGAATGAATAGAAAAGATCAGTTAAAACTTTGGAAAACTCATATAGTCAGAGGAGAGAGTACTAAACTAGATAGTGTTGGGCTGAAGTGTTTGATCCCGTAACTTTCATGACTTGAAAGGCTGAGAGGGGTCCCCTAACTTTCAGTGTGGTTTGATATGCTAACTTCTCAAAACAGTTTGTGGGGAGAGTGACCGTAAATGATAAAGTGACTGGATTTATTAGTTTTTCTTTTAATTTGCAAGGGGGGGGGAGCTTTGCCACTGGTGCAAGTGGCAAATATGGCTGTCCTCAGTGATATACCCTCCTAATTTGGGACAGAATGCCTTAAATGCTGGCCTTATTGTCCAACTATACATAGATATACCCCCCTCAATTGTGAATCATTTACATCTCCTATTATGTAAGGTATATTTTTCTGCATATAGCTGTTGGTGTTGCAATAACATCTGAAAAGAACAACCCTCAACAACCTCTTTTAAGTCACACTTGGGGTGCCACCAACAAATGAATAGAGGCTCAAATTTGTGTTATTGGAGAGATTTTTATTTTTTATTTTTATGTTGGCCCCAGCTCCCAAGTCATGGTGCAGCTTTCCCAGCAAAATCTCTTGGCCATCTTTCACTGTGATAACTTCAGCGACAAGCTAAGCTGTCCACTGAGGCTTCACACATAATGAACCAATTAGTTTGAAAATCTGTGTGTTTAATTTTCGGCTGCTATGAGTTTTGTTCAGAGCTTCGAAATTACTTTTGAAAGGTAAAGTTCGAATTCCAAGTGTCCTCACTCCCCCAAACAGTTGGTTATTGTTCCAGTTCCAAATTTTAAAAAGTGTTTGCTTTCCTGAATATCTTAGTAGTTTAGGTCTCTGGACTGTGGAGCCAGAGTTTGCGAGTTCAATTCTCCACCGTGTCTCCTTGACAGGAGCTGGACCGAATGATCCATCAGGTCCCTTCCAGCTCTGTGGTTCTAACATTACTTAATTCATCAGCTGTTTCTCACAAATAGTATCTGTTTCTTAGTGTCCTCTTTTTCTAAATATCTAAATACTACTAAAACTCACCTATAGTAGAAAGCACATATTCTGTCTGTTTTATAAGAGCTTGAGCACTCACAAGAACATTGCATAAGGCAATAGCAGAAGTTATAGTACAGACCAGCCTTTGAAGCATGTGCTGTTCCTCCTCCATCATTCCCTGGTGATCACACACTTGGAGCTATAAAAGCACATACTACAGTTGCATTGTGAACTGAGTGAAATTACTGCTTATTCATTAACTGATGCAAGGTAATATAGTCATAGCTTCTTCAATAGAAACAGGAATGAATAACTAGTAATGAATTATTTGTAATTAGTTACTTTTAACCTCTACTGGTAACATTTTCAGTTGTATTTATGTGTATTGTTTTATGTTGCATTTTATTTTGAAATAATATTTACAATAGTTTATTGCCCAACAAACTTTGTTGTGGCACAGTACAAAGAGTTTGGTATTTTTATTTAACGTGTACCACGCCCCACTATAAAAATTAGGCAGTGCTGAGGACCATTAGTTACAGATTCAGTCCTTGAAGAAAGTCACTAGTATTTGTTCAGGCATCAGTACTAAAGGCAAATAGATTTATTTACATAAATTATGTAAGCATTTGGAAGGTAATTCAAAGCTTTTAGATTGGAACATATTTTTGTGTAATGTTTGTATTGCAAAAAATTTTCATGCAAAGGTAAAAGAAAGGGCAGCTCAGTTCATCTCTCTGTATGAAATGTTAATTTCGTGTTGTTTTTTTCTTTCTTTGCCAGAAGGAGATTTGCCAATTAGATTTACATAGGATCTGTTCACTCTAAAGCACAAGAAAAATATAACTAGTGTTTATTTCTCAACATGCATGAATCTCTTTCAACTGCGGTGAATTCAGTTTGCATTTAGTTAACCTTTTGCACATTACTGGAAGTCAGGGAAAATTCTTTCTTAAGTTTTCAAAGGCTCTTTCTTGGTATCATCAGGAAGTAAAAGTCTCCAGCCCCGACTACCCTGAGAGAAACCGAGAGAATGTGATGGATGACTTCTTGAAACGAATAGAGTGTTACAAAGTCACCTATCAGCCTCTTGATCCAGTTGATTATGACAAGTAAGATGTCCTTCTGGAAATTTCATGTCATAGAATCAGGCTGGTGTTGGTGTATGAAAAGGGTTTGAAGTGAATCCTTCTCACCTCGATTAGAACACCTCTGTTCCCTAAGTATTGTGAAAGCCCTATACATTCCTGAATGGGATGGCATGTGAGGCAGAGAAATGATGTGTGTATACATGCTGAAGATTGAGCAGGAGCATCTTGCATGGCAGCAGGAAGAGAGGAGACAAGAAATCAATTGAAAAGGAAACTATGACCTTGAGTTTACTGTGCAGCGTTGTTGATGTACCATTTGGAGGTCACTGATTCATAAGGTGGCCGTACATGACTTAACAATACCTAACACTAATAACAACAATAACACCCTTCATGAGGAGAACTAGAAAGAAGGGGCCTCTGTGTAATGTTCAGTGACTCACACTGCCTTCTCTGTTCCTCATTTCTCTGTTCTTCAGGAGGGTATCCTTATAGTCCCCGACTCCTCAGAAGCATGTGGGATAACAGAGTGACCTCCAACCCCCCCCCATACCTAATTTTTTCCACTGGCAAGTGTCTAGATGGGAATAATATGTGTGGGAAGAGAAATGGCTCAAAGGAGTGAAACAAATGTGATCATACTTAATTGTTTCCAGAAAGATACTTTGTGAAAGACAGGAAACTATGAATGTAGTAATAAAGTAAGATGGAGAGTGAGTTAAATTTCCTTCTCACCCACTTATTTGGAACAATGGAAGTCACTGTGAACAGGAGAAACAGCATTATGCCAAGATCCATTTTTGTTCCATGACACTGCTCAAAGATTCCTGCCAGCTTTTTAGCAGTACATGGACCTATCCATAGATGCAAACCTGCCTACTGGTCCACAGAAATTGCTTTGTAGTTGTATTAGTCTATTTACTGTGTAAACTGCTCCTATACGGCAAAAGTAGCGATGTTGCCAAATTTTGTAATTACCTGATTCAGAATATGAATTTGTCCAATGGCCCATGGAGACTTGCAAGTAGGGCAGCCATTTGGGAGGTGCTCAGAGGGAATGCACAGCACATCGTGCTCATCTCTAGTCAAAATGTCATATTGTGATGATAACTTAATAGGGTAACCAGAAATGAACAGAAAATATGGAAAGGCACACAAAAATATACAACTTTTGGTACCATATCTTTATGGGACAACCAACAACTAAAACAGAATTGTGCTCAAACTGGATGGATACAGTTTTGAGTTTGTTGTGGGAGATTTATATGGTGCAAGATGGAGGGACCTATAATTTCAGATTTTCCAGTCCTTCAGATTGATTTGAACTGGCCTTCCCCCACCTCCATTTCCTCTTTCTTTCCCCCAACTACACAGTTTGCTTTCAATGTCTCACATGATGCAAGAAAACTGTTCACAAAAGTTTCCGGATTTTTTGGATGCTCTTGTGCATATTCTGTACAACCTGTCACCTCACTATCATGCCAGCATGGCTTACGTTTATTTGCTTGTAGCCATAGTTCAGACAATCCTATGCTAAGCAAAAAGCAAACAACCTGAAGGATGTCTTTAAAGGCTCAAGAGGTCTTTGAGAAACTCTTTACATATTGAATGTACTTCAGATTGATTCACCAGTCATTGGTTGTAAATGAATTCTGTATTTGTACAGCAATTTGCAGCCCCATGTTTTAAAATAAGATACTTCCTTGGTTTATTTTTTGTTTCATGTCTATATATCCTTGGTGAGGATATTTACTCTTTTGTACAGTGTCATGCTGAACATAAACAACAGACAGAATCATTTGCAATAATCATTAAAACTTGTTTCTGCCCAGTATCTATTTATGATCAAAAGTGACAGGGAGTCAATGCACAAGAAAAGAACAAGCCTGGCCAGCATAAAAACAAGAATGGCAGATGATATTAATCAGGGGTTGATCACGGATCTGTATACATTCTTTGATCTCTCATCACTTCATAGTGCTACACTATATGTGTGTACTTGCTGATTTGAAACCTGTGATATTTGGCTTTGTATCTGATAACATCAATTCTATATATGTAGTAGATTTAGACACCTTCATGCATATGGAGGGAGTATCATGCAAATAATAGGTGTGCCGGATTTCAGTGCAAGTAACATGTGACAGGACTTCTGTTTTAGATTATTGGTACATGTAAATCATCAGTTGATTCTGCAGCCAATAAATGATGAACTTGAAACCGCAAGTCAGGCCTTAGCTCTCCATCTTCATATGCAACCCTTAGGTCATAATTTTCATCTACATTTTAGTAGCAGGAGTTGGAAGATATTTCAGTTCAAATGCACTTTTTCATGGCTCCACATACAGTACCATAGGTTTCTTGTTTACACTCTGCATAGCACCGATTGTCAAATGATTAAATTCAGTTCTTTCATGATATGGTCTAAGTGAATAATGTGTAAAAGGACTTGGGGATTATAAAACGTGTACAGAAGAAGAACTCATGGATGTCATAATCTGATACCCAATGTTTCTGGTATTTTCTTAATTCCAGAGATCTTTCTTTCATTAAAGTGATCAACGTAGGGCAACGCTTTCTTGTCAACCGTGTCCAGGATTACATTCAAAGTAAAATCGTCTATTATCTCATGAATATCCATGTTCAGCCACGCACCATCTATCTTTGTAGACATGGTGAGAGTGAGTGCAACCTTGTCAGCAAGATTGGTGGGGATTCAGGTCTATCACCTCGTGGAAAGCAGGTACAGTCTTAATATAAGGTTTGTCGCTGTGCCTGCATTCGCTTATTAGGAACAAAAGTGAGTTCTGTCTCGGATGTTTTTCTTTTATTCAGTTTTAGTTACACCAAAGAGCAGAAGTACACAGGTGCAAAAAGTTAAAAGCCTGAATCCAGTTGCTAGTTTCAACTAAAATAGACCCAAATGAATCATTAAGTCTACATAAGTGTTGGCTCACCATTTAGTAGATGATTCAGTGATGCTACTTTACTTGGGACTAGCAATTGGATTTTGTGACGCTATGATCAAAGAGCAACTCTCATCTTATTATAAACAGTATAATTTATAATACTGTTTAAGGCATGTGCTTACATAGCAGTTACAAAGCTTACTTTTATGTCCAGCTTAAAATAAAAGTGAATTTTTTTTTCTTCCTTTCCACTTCCTCTTCTTCTGTCAAATTCCACCTCCTTTCTAGTGCTGGTTTTACTTTTGAGCACCATATATATCATTACAAATTTAGGGTAAAATGTTTATTCTAAATTTGTGCCATATGCCAGGATTCTTACTGGTGGAATTAATCATTTATTAACTAGTATTTGGAAAGCACTTGAACATTTTTTCATCATCGTATTAATTAAAAATGACGCTAGTAAAATATCAATGTTTTCATTAAAAGTCTGAGTGATCATGAGAACATATGAATTTAGAAATTCACTATTCACATTGGAAAGGTTCTTGAACATGAATCAAGAACTTAATATTCTTCTTGCTGTTGTTCCTCTCCTACCAGAAATTGGACAACATGATGGTTATTCTTTGAATGCAGCTACTCTGAACAATGATGTAGTGTTGCATCCGGACAAGTTACTAAAAGTTTTCAGTCCAATAGGTTTTTCTCTTTCCTGCACTTCTTTTTTTCCTTTTATTTTATCTTGAATGATTAACTATAAGAATTTTTGCATTTCATTTCTTATTAAGTGATCAAAATATTCCAGCTTTTCATGATTTCTTGATTGTTATTCAGTTGCCTTAGTTTGTTCATTGGTCCAAGATTTAAAAAAAGGTTGGCATAGAGAGACAAATCTACATTTTAGATGCCTCTGCCTTCTCATAATAGCTGGTATACAATACACATTCCCAAAAACAATTTTAAATTGTGTGGCATATTGAATTGTTGACTATTTTGACTTTCATTGCATGGCTATGAATACACTGTTTATTCAATCTATTTCCTTATATTTACCAACATATTCCACACATACACTTTGGATCTTTTAACTGCATTATTTGGGCTGCTTCCATTTCCTCATGACTAGGAAGTTGTTTTCTTTACATTCATTTTTTTAATGTGCTCATTAAGTTTGTCAAGTAACATTTGTGAATCATCTGAACTGTCAGTAATAATGTGTGCTGTATGTATCAGATGTTTTTGATAGTATCTTCATTGACAATAATACCATCTTGTTGATAACAGCTTCATTGACAAGAATGCCATCATTTCCATCTGCAAGTGCTTCCCTAAAGTTACAATTGGAGTGCAAATTGTTGTTGTTGTTCCTCTCCTACCAGTGATCAGAGTATACATCCTTCTCATTCTCCTCTTCCTGTCTCAGTAACCTCTGTCATCTGGGCTTCCACATTTGCTACGTTTTCTTGCCAGTTCAGGTTGCCACTTATGCAAATATCTCTTGGAGCAAGTCCTTTGTTTCCGAAACAACTCCATCAGCTTGCTGTGTTGGACTTTGTCAAAGGCTTTCTTGTAGTTAATAAAGCAACTGTCTGTATTGAACACACAGTCATGTATATATCTATGTTCATGCCACAGCATCTCTCCCCAGGTATATGTATGCAGAATTGTTCCTAGTTCCAAATTCTCCCCTGAATCCAAACGATGTGCTTTCTACCCTCTTTTTCACATAAATTAACGATGTGCTTTCTACCCTCTTTTTCACACTTATAAATGTTATCATGTATCATTTCCAAGAAACTGAAGCAGATGGCTGCCCTCCCACAAATGTTATTTCTAGATTATGTTAGTATCCATTTAGGGTTGCTGTGTTTGATCTTGCTGCAGTGACAACCCTTAGCCTTTTAATCCTGCAGAGGTTGGCATTAATGGAACATATAGGAAGTTCATTTTCAGTGGTTTACTCTCTTCCCTGCAGGCTCCTGCGCTCCTAGGTCTACTCCAGAGAGTTTTGGGACTCTTTGGCATAGGAGGGGAGAAGGCAGAGGGGACTACGGTGGGATGGGGGAATCACCAAAAACCACTCCTTCCCTATTCTGCTGGTGAAAAGCTTTGCTGGATCAAAAAGACAAGTGTCAACTGAGAGACAACAGCTGGATACATAGCCTGCAACAAATGAAATACTGTACTGAATTCCAGCACAATTTTGTTGTTGTTTTGAATTGTGTGGGAGTAGAAGCTTTTCCAGGGCTCCATGTCATCTGCATTTGTATAGCCCCATTGAATATACTACTGTAGCAAATGAGTAGCATCAAGCTTTGATGGTTTTATCTTGTTTCTAACAAAGTAGGAATATTGTTCCCATTACAGTTGCAAAAACTGTGCAAGCCTCTTGATTATATTGTGTTCTCCTAGTTTGCTCAAGCACTGAAAAAATACATCAAAGATCAAGAGATTGTGGATCTGAAGGTTTGGACCAGCCAACTGAAGAGAACAATCCAGACAGCAGAAGCCCTGGGGGTGCCATATGAGCAGTGGAAGATCTTGAATGAAATAGATGCTGTAAGTAGAACAGCTATTCAGGGTACCTCCATAGTCCCACCCAAAAGAAGTTGTGCCATCCTTTTATACGATCTGAAAACAACAATGGGTGACAGCTTCGTTAGACTACTAAAATCTCACACACAGTCCTGCAGGACTCTTCAGCAGACTGGTCAATACAGAGCATGAGGCAGTGTAGACTTTTCCATTGCTTCTACAATCCCCTCCCAGCTCTGTTTCTGAGATTTTAGTAGTGTAATAAAGGTGTCACCCACCCTTGTTTTCAGATTGTGTACAAGGACCACACAGATCTCTTCCCTTTTGATACACTGTGTTATGTGATCAAAGCTAGTGGATCCTGCTGATCTAAAGTTTCCACAATCTCTCCAAATTAGTCTAGCTCATTTCTGTAGATTGTAGACAGAAATGTTGAGAAACTTCATGATTTCCAGAATGTACTTTTTTTCCTGTGAATGTTCTTAAATAAATTCCTGTGTTATTGTTGCTTTGTTGTTGTTGCTTGTTTTTTCCAGGGAGTATGTGAAGAAATGACATATGAAGAGATTCAAAGGAAATATCCAGAGGAGTTTGCACTTCGGGACCAAGACAAGTACCTTTATCGCTACCCTGGAGGAGAAGTGAGGAAGTTTTCTAGTTGATCAATACCCTGTTTGCCCAAAAATAAGATCTAACCTGAAAATAAGCCCTAGTACGATTTTTTAGGAGGCTCATAATACTGTATAAGCCCTACCTTAAAAATAAGCCCCAGTTGTGAAACCCTGTCTTCCACCATGTGCAGCAACCAAAAGAAGATGACATGGCTGTATTTGAATAAATGTAGATGGCTGTACATGAAAAATATAAACCACCCTCTGAAAATAAGCCCTAATGCATTTTTGGAGCAATAATTAATATAAGACCCTGTCTTATTTTTGGGGAGACACGGTAAAATATTAATACTTTTGTTTTATAGATTTGAAAATACCCTTTGCAGCACCTGCTAAATACCATAAATATTTTCAGACTATATGCATAATAGATAAATAGTAGATACTAATGCAATCATGTAAAATCACATCAATGTTACTAGTTTGTGATAAACTGCTTCTCATTTTCTAGTCTTATCAAGATTTGGTCCAACGCTTGGAACCTGTGATTATGGAGTTGGAACGTCAGGGCAACGTCCTAGTCATTTCCCACCAGGCAGTTATGAGATGTTTACTGGCCTATTTCCTCGATAAGGGTGCAGGTGAGGAATAAGATTGTGATTTGTACATGTTTACTAATACAAATGGAGTCTTTGTCTGGAACAACTTGAGACAAACTAGATGTGAAGTTAAATGCATGCAAATATGTCAGTTAAAAAACACCAATGCAGATAATAGGGATGATTGTTTCTGATTTGTCCTGGAATGCCATGCATGGGATAGGATGTTTGACCTTCCCTTTCCTGCCATGATCCAACAAAATGTACCCTCTCACTTCTATCACAGATATAAGGGAAGTTACTGACTATTTTTGGAGAGAGGATTAGCAGACGTAGCTGCTAATTATGCATTTAATGTCACACATTTTGGTATATATTTTCCTTTTGTGGTTCTGCTAATTAAAGTTGCAACTCCTGCAGCAACACATATGCAAGGAAAGTTTTTTCTGGGCTTGGAGAGTGCAATGATTGTGTGCGGAGGGAGTGGTATGAGGGTGTACTTCACGTGTATGAATAAATATGTCAATAAGAAAAATTGCCAAAAAGGACACCTTAACACAAAATATAAACCCCAACATTACAAGCACTCCTTTGTTCTTGATTTCTATTCATAATGGCTACATTTTTTTTTAAAAAAAATGCTTAATATTATAGGATTTATGTGTACGTAATATCAGAGAATCAGTATACAGGGCTCTTATCTATGAATTTGCTACTCAGATACCTAATATGTTCCTTTACATTGTTGTCTAAACATTTGTGATTCCTGATCTGATTTCTGCCCTTCACTTTATCCAATAGAAGGATTTTACTTCAGTGTTTTGTTGGGTTGTAACCCTTAGGTAGCATTGCCACCATTTGTTCAAATCAGAAGTTGTACTTTTCTCTCTTTCATCTCCCCCTTTGCTGAGTCATTGCTAGCCACCTGCTTGAATATGTCCTACCTGATACTTCCCTGTTTTCCCCAAAATAAGACCTAACCTGAAAATAAGCCCTAGTATGATTTTTCAGGATGCTCGTAATATAAGTCCTACCCCCAAAATAAGCCCCAGTTAAGTGAAACCCTGCCCTCCACCATTGTGCACCAACCAGAAGATGACATGACTTTATTTGAATAAATCTAGATTGTTGTACATGAAAAAAAAATAAAACATCTCCTGAAAATAAGCCCTAACGTGTTTTTGAGCAAAAATTTAATATAAGACCCTATCTTATTTTTGGGAAAACTCAGTTATACTTAGGAAATAATGAGATGATTAATGAAGAAACAAAAATGTGTTTTTATTTTGAAACAGAATAAGTGCTAGGATTAAAATAACAACTACAAAATTAGGTCACAGGCATATTATGCAGCTTTTGTATCTAAGTTAATGCTTATTTTTTGCAATGTGTATCTTCTTTATCTCATATCGGCTGAAATCCTGTTGTGTAGCTCTGCCTGTACCATGGGAATGAACTCATGAAAAGTGGTAGATTGCAGCTAATTAAAAGCTTTCACAATTTCAAGGTGCATAACACTCACACACAACGCAAGAAAGTCATGTGCACTCTGAAATTGCCTTTAATCAGCAGCAATCTGACAATAACATCATTATCATTATGCAGAGGCTGCTCAACAGGATTTCAACTATTCCTACCTAAATTAAACTTTCTCTATAAACTCTTGACAATCCTAACAAATCTAGACTCTCTTACTGAACATTCTCACTCTCAAGTAACTATCTAATGTTTGTTTGTTTGTTTGTTTATTATTTATTTATTTATTATTTATTATTTATTTAATCCCCCGCCTATCTGGTCGATATGAC